GCTTTAACTTTTTATCCCTCTTTTCGGTAACATTACATTACTGGTTGCCGCTTATATGCAGAGGGATTGACGCATATCCATCAAGTTCTACTCGATGCATGATCAAAACATGACAGCAAGTAAAGGCAATGATGCATATTGGAGACTTTACTCTCTCGAGTGTAACATGTATCATCTCTCAAGACCACTGACGCATTTTAAGTGTACAATTTTTTATGCAAAACACTTTTGTTTCAACTATTTTAATAAATTATTTCAAATTATACTATTTCAGTGATTTATTTTTAATTTTTACCCATTGCCGTCAGAAACCCATCTTCCTCTCTTTATTAGTCATTTAAACGTACTTTTTCATTAATAAAAATTCAAGGGGCAATGCACATTTCATAACCAAAAAGCTAGATTTATCTGTAGACTCGAAGATTCCCATTCCAGCCCTAAATTTTAGGACCCTGTAGCAAAATCATTAGCATCCACGTACCTTAGCCTCTCTTTTATATCATTCACTGTATTTAAAAAGTTAACTGTGCCAACCCAAAAGGTTTAAAAGGAAAGGAAACCACATAAAGCCTAGTAATCGTCTTTGGTCCTTTCTCTGTCTCACGAATTAAATATTAACCCCTACGGCCTCTGTTACCATCAACTACGCCTCTGCTGCAGTCTTACAGAGCAAAATGCATAAAAGAACTCAGTGACATTGCTGCTGCTGATTCTTAATTTCCGGCAACCGCTACTGATTTTCTGAGTCTTACAGTGCTTATCATCGCCTTCATGCTTAGTAAATATCGTGGGTGCAGGAGAGGTACCATCTGCAATTTTAATTCACTCCTCTGTTTTCTTCTACGAATTAACTATTACTGCAGAAAATCATTAAAATTTTAACTGTAGATGCGTTCATCATCACCGCCATTTCCTCTGGGTCGGTGGCTCTCTGAGTTTCACTCATATGTTATTGTTGTTTTAAATTATGCATGTATACATAACAGTGTACCCCCAGTTCAGTATGACAATATAATTACACAAGGCACTCCACTATTGTGTAAACAGAGGCATAATGAAAATTACAAGGGTACCGGTAAGACATCGAAGCTGCACTCACTGTTTCAACACAACCCACTTTATCCGATACGACCATAATTTTCCATCGGGAATTGTCCTTCTTTTCACTCATTTTAATATTAAAGACTGCCTTTAAGATATTAATTATAAATTATAAATAATCATCATATTGAAAATTATGTGAAAAGATGTATTTATAATATTTTTTAAATAAAAAAGAAATAAATGAATTTTATATTTCTTTTATAACTTGATTATTAAAAATTTTTAGTTAACATGTATTCACTTATACCTTAGTTTATTAGTGCAGGGCTAAACATCCCAAGAGCTTATAGAGACGAGTTGGCTTTGTTGACTGAAAATCCACGACTATTAAGCTTCAATGAAAACAGATTTGTTCTCGCTTCTCAGAAACCATGGAAAACAGCACACAACATTTGAGGTGCAATACTTTACTCTGCACCGCATCCTTTGTGCATTCCCTTTGTTTTTCATGAGCCTCAATGTAGAATTCAGATTCACCTGTGCCCTCCTGTTCTTTCTGTTTAGGAGACAAAATAACTAACTTGAAATCCTTATTACTCAATACCCAGTCATTATTCTACCAATTAAGCGTTCGATTTAATTAGATTCTATACAAGTCCCATTTTAAAACCCTCTCCCTTATTTTTGATAAAAGGGAGGATCATCATTTGATAAATGGGTGAATTTCGTGTTGGGACAAGTAGCAGAAGTTTCATTAACCTGTACCATTACTTAGGCGTCGAATCTTTTTCATGCCATGGTACCCCACATCTTAAAGAAACACTACCCACTTAGGGGCCCTCTGCATGCTATTTTTTTATTACATTGATTGGTTTCACCAACTATCTGATTGAATTTTGAACAAGTTATCTATGTATTTTTAAATTTTATTTTGCACAATTATTTTGTTTCACAAAAATTTTAAAGGTAGCATCTCGTTTGTCTTATAATTATGGTTGAGATGGTAATATTAATTAGGGTTCCCCTATTCTTTTTTTTTCCTTTAATTTCTTGATATCTAGTATTTATTAATGTTATTGTTAGCAAACAACACAAATGTTAACAAGTAGTTCGATAGCAATATTCTTAAATAAACATTCTAAAATTCTTGATTAATCATCAAAAAAGAATTTCGGAAATGTTAAATGAGAATTAGCTAATTAGCTATAATATTTAAAATGTAATTAAAGTTTTAAATAATAATAACCCGCATAACGAAGGTAGTATACATTTAACTAAAAAAAATAAATTTTATAATTATAATTTTAAAATCATATCTAGAATGATGTTTAACTAATTGATAATAAAAATATTTATAGTGTTTAATTACTAGAAAGTATATGGATGCATAGTTATTTTTTTGGTCATAAAAAATTTAAGTAAATTAGATCCCAAGAGTTGAATGGGGTCAAGATATGTCTTTCACACTTAAAAAAAAATGCTTAGAATGATATTTATAGATCATCTACCAATGAAATCCTCAAATTGACAATAAAATTTAAACTCGCGTCATAAAAATACAGGGTTTAATAAAATTGATGAATTAGTTAATTTGATTTATAAATAAATTAAATTACACAATGAATTGATTCGATTAGGTTGGTTTACCAAAAGAAAAGGGCCAATTAATTCATGAAGATGCCGCCTACAGAGCAATTAATCACACACAAAATAAAGTAAAGCAGTAATAGTGAACAATTGTTTCCACAACATTATTTAGCCATTAGCATACAAAAAAAAAATTAAGAACGCCTTAATACCCTAACTATTTTTTAATGATTTTTTGGTTATTCGAATTAATGAAAAGATGATGGAAAATTAGTTCAAGTGATTGGAATATATGTAAAGAAGGTTACTTGGTTGTATAATTTTAGTTGTGCAACAAAGATTAAAAGAGAAAAAATATTAAAAGAAATCTCACAGTATATAATACCTCTAAGAATTTAATATTTGATGAAGTTTAATAATATTACATGAGATTTTACTTATCAAAATAAGATTTTATTGTTATTTAATTTATCTGCAAAGCAATCACCCATATAATGTAAGGAAAGATAATCTTATATACATAATATTTTGCTCATAAAGGATGACAATTTAAATTTGGAGGAGTCATTACTTCAAACCCCGATAACTGGGGCAAGGTAAGTGGAATGCAGCGCCAGAGAATACAGACTGCTCCTATAAGGTGCCACCAATCGAGGAGTATTTAATTAGCTCAACCGTGCATTTTGTGGGATTGAATCACACGAGATATGAACTACGATTCGTTGGGATCTGAATTTTATGCAGCTATGGTAAAAATTGAATATTCATATGTAATTTTACTTAAATAAAAATAAAGTTGCTTAAGTAAAAATATACAAAACTATAACATTTTTATATATAAAATTAGTTTAAATAAAGTTTTACAGATTCACTTAAATAAATCTGCAACACACAAAATTTGTTTAAGTTAATTTTATATAAAAAAATTATTATTTTTTATATTTTTGTTTAAATAAATTATTTTTTCTTAAAACAAAAATTTTTATTTAAGCAAAAATAGTAGATGTTCAGTTTCTGCCACAAACAAAAAGAATCTAGATCTAATTTGTTTAAATTGATGAAAAACATATTAGTAAATTCAAAAAAATAATGTATTTTTAGAGTGCGGTGCTGTTATTTCTCTTGCATAGTATTTAAATTTGAATAATACTAATTACTAGTTACTCTAATAACTCCCTCCGTTGACATCTTAATGATTTTTATGGAAGCCCCGTTGATATAAATAAAAGAAATAAAAACAAAAGTTCATTTTGACATCAGAAGAGTTTACACCTATATATCATACCACTCATATTGGCAGGTTAAACTTAAATGTCACAAAATAAATTATTTGACCCGTATCGATTGGTTAGTTTTAGGAAAGATAAAAAACAATTACTTTTTCTTTAGACTTTAAAATAAAGTCTTAAAGCTTAAATTTCAATCGATTCAACTAAGCCAAACCTAACAAAAAAAAGTATTTGAATGGAAATATATAATATGTGTTATGTAAAGAGCATAAGATAAAATAATTTTTTCATATGATATTATCAAAGTTTTCCAATAAATATTTAAATAATGATGCGTAATGTTATTTTCATTCTTGATTTGTTACGTTAATCTCTACACTATTTTTTTACAATAAAATGGAGAAAAAAATTAAATTTAAATTTAAATTCCTCTATTTTTCTATAAAACAAAATTATAAGGATAATACAAAAGAAATAAGATTGTATTTTAATAAAGTAAGTCAAAATTACTATATAGAATGTATTTGGAAAATATTTTTTTTAAATTACGTAAAATTTTTAACTAGGTAATTTTTATGTTAAATACAAATAATTAAAAATGACTTATTTTAGATAAAACTTCAAATTTGTTTCTATTATTCTTAACTTTTTAAATTTATCATTCATAGTTTTTTTCATACTTGACTTTCATTTTAAATGTTTTGAAAAAATAATGTTTAATTTTTATATAATAAAGATGTGTTAAATTATAATAGTAACAGTAGGGAAAATAGTAAAGAAATAGGATTTAATTTTTCTCAGATTTAAATTGAAGATAAAGTCTCAAATTTAAATGTTTTCTCATTTTTAAAAAGCGAAATCCAAAGAAATATTCAAAGTGAGACGAAAATTTGCTCGAGTTTACAATACAACAGGAAAGTGAACTTAACACCACTTGAGGAAACTTTGCTCAAGCAAGCCTACAATACAACGGGAAAATTCTACGCTAAAGTAAATAACAAACATAAAATTTGCAGTTATGCTAGCTATGTTAAAACATTAGGCTGGATGGAACTACTTTCATTTTCATTAGTGAAAGTCAATACCCGAACCTAAGATTCTTCAAAGTTCTAACATTGAAGAGATACTCCAAGGTGCGTTCATTGACTTGTTCCCCGTCTTGAAAACTAAGTTGGTACCACTCCGACCTTGTCATCTGTGTCTATCTTTGTTCTGTCTGCAACAAATGAAACAGTACTTTTCAGTGTCTTCTTTTGCCAACTTAGAAGGTTGGACTAAGAGGTGAATGAGTTATACACAAGTCAGTCGAAAACACTTTCCTCAATTTTTGTTCATTTTACTTAGCTTAAATATTAATTCAACTTCAATCCTTAAAAAAATTCTTCCCACTAACAAGTTATAAGGATGAAATCAACTAATATAAATAAAAAAGTGATAAATTTGATTACCATGTGAAGCTTCTGAAATTAGGTGCCGTCTCGTATGACTGCAACTTTGATCCTTTCAACTGTGCACTTAATTAAACTGTTAACAGTGGCCACTGAACCTAGAGATAGCTTTGCTGTTGGGGCTGAATCAACTAAGATCTGAAATGCAACTGTAAGCAGAGAACCTCCAGATCCAACATCAAGTACTGCTCCTCCGTTTGATCCAGGCCCATCAGGAAGAATAGCAAAGCCCGAGGGAAGCAGGGCAACATAATCTGGATCCCCTCCACTCAATACTACATTCATGGCAACGATATCAACAGGAGCATAAACTACATATGAGCCGGTAGAATCAGTGCAACTCTCTTGAAGTATCAGCATATTACTTTGGCTCGAATTTGTACCCTATATAGCAGGTTTTTACCAAAAGACAATGTTAGGTTAGGTTGTGGGTATATCAAAAGTACCTCTGTGGCATGCTATAGCAAAATCTTACATTGACTCGAAGTAAAGAGACAGAGTTGCCAGGATCACGGCCATTTGCTATGTGTGCCATTTCTTGAACTAAACCTCCATTGGAGAGAATGTCCCACTATAGAGTAAATTGAATGTGTGTAAGCTTCAAGAATGAATAATAGCTACTAAGTTCTTGATGTGTTTCTTTGTCTTACTACCTATCATATTATGAAAAAAAAGAAGAAAAAAAGAAGAAGGCAATAAGCACTGAAATCTCATACATACCTCATTTCTAGAGTTTTCATCACGAAGGAAATCAAAAACCCTCTTTGGAGGAACCGGAAGCCAGAAAGAAGTGGCAGCACAGAGCACTATACCGGGTGGTCTTCCTGGGTCATCCGTACTCTTCCTGGTCATCACCCTTACATCATCGCACCCAGTTGCAGATAGCGTTGTCCAAGCATGTGCTGTAGAAGCACCAACTCCACTACAATAGCTAATCACCATTCTCTCCGCCAGCTTCAGCATACCTTTCCTTCCCTCAGGACTCGTTATCACTGTATTGTGTATATTTAAAGCACATTCCAAATTCATGCTCACTCGTGATTTATGTATATATATACCAAAGGGACTTGAAAAATAAAAGAAAAAATTAAATTGATGTGCCACTTACCACAAAGGTCCCCTGCAGGTATGTAATTGGCCATTGAACTGGCAAGACGTTCGCATTGTCTATCTAATGTAGCCACCCAGCGTTTAGCACCAAAGGCAAGCCCGGAATTAACAAGAGGTTTATATATATTATGCACAGCTCTATCATCCACTTCTACATGTTCAATCCATGTAACCTGAGAGTTTATAACACAAGAAGAGAGCCACTTATAATTAACTTAGAGTTTTGTTCAACCATGGACATCTAGAAGATCAATTAATCAAAGTGTCGCCTACCTTCGAGTATCCATTTGGTAATTCTTGAATTAAACAACCAGAGGGCCTTCTTCGGCTTCTCGAGATTGTGGTGGGTCGCAGATTATCCAAGGAAACATCCACCACGGCCCATATCCCATCTGGGTGCTGCTTACAGTACCTTACGAAATAGTTCTCACGAGTTGGAACAAGTGGTGAAGGTACCTGGAACTCAGCTGACATCTGAAAGAAAGAGAAAAGATGTGTTACATGATGAAATGCATAATTATATGAAAATAAGATATTGAAGGGAGAAAAATTAAGTACCACTTGCAAGGCTCCGTTGTAGTTTCCTGCGACTCCAGTTGAAAGCACTTCAAGCGTCAACGCTCTCGAAACAATGCCGCAAAACACAGTTGACCATTGGTTCTGAAAACCGTATCAACGTCATTGTCATGACTGTCCCATGCACTCGACAAACTAATGTATAATAGAAACACTAACTAAGAAATTGTTGGTAACCTAAATTAATTAACACCCACCACATCCATAAGGATATCGACAAGATTCATATGATTCATGATAACCACAGTGGATTCTCTTGAAGCTTCAGATCTTAAGCCCACATGCTTGGGACCTATTCCTCTAGGGAAAGACCTCAAATATTCATCTTCATTAAGAATCTCAGTACGGTGGTTGTTGGGGACCCATAAAGGGTCACCCACCTGAGCCAATCTTGTTAGTTCCTCCATTGCTGCAACGGCGAGCTCCACAATCATGGGTTTGTCAGCATCAGCAGGTGCTGGAAGTGACCTAAGAAGGTCGCTACCACCATACATTTCTCCTACCATCCCTGACTGTGCTCCGTAGTTACCAACAGGCACGTGATTGTTATTATGAGATGAAAGGTTTGAATACGAAGTCACGGGCTTTCCAACGTATTTGGTTGCAATTCCTGAAATCCTATCAATCTGAAGTTTTTTTTTTGTTTGTTTTTTTTTTAAATAAAATGGTTAGTTATAAGACCAACAAGAAATAATCTTTTACATTATTCACCGGGAATGGAAGTTAGTTAATTGATTAACAAGCTAGTTTGATGTACATTTCGTACCTCTTCTCTTAATCGAGCATTCTCAATCCTCAAATGTTGCTCGTCGAAGGACATTTCGCCAAGAGTAGCAGGGCCTCCACAGTTGGGACATGTTGCATTGGTTAGGGCCTCCTTGTACCTATTGTTCTCGGCACGAAGCTTCTCATTCTCTGCTTTCAAAATAGTATTCTCATGTCGTTCATGTTGAGCCTATATATATGACCAGCACAAAGAAGCATCTTGAATTTGACTAAAGCAAAAAAATTAAGAATACTTAAAAAGTTCAATGTAATATAACTTTTGTCCATATTTAGAGGCTGTCTAGTCTCTCCCTTACTTTCATCTGGGTGCGCTTGTTTTGGAACCAAAACTTAACTTGCAAAGGTTCTAGCCCAAGTTCCCGGCTCAGTTCTTTTCTTTGCTTGTCATCTGGATGAGGACACTGCTGGAAGAAGCTGATAAAAGCCAAGTTCAAAACATATAATACCAAGTAAGCGAACTGAGAAAAGCAAGCGTATATTTCATATATATTATTATCAGATAAAAGGAGTTTTAGTATTATATGGTAATTACGCTTCCATTTCTTGAATTTGGCGCTGTGTGTGGCGGTGGTACCCCTTCTTGTTGGGACGTTGGTTGGGCTCTTGGTCATCGCTGGAATGAGCGTCCATGGTCTCGGTGCCAGATTTGCTCTCGTACTCATCATCTCTTGCCTTTCCCAAATCACTCTCACAGAAAGTCTTATGGGTTGATGACATGTCAAGCATGTGTTGGTGAGAATCAAACATGTTTGTGTGAAACATCGACATAATCCTTAACTTCAGAAGCCACGATCTTCTTCTTCTCTGTCAGCAGAAGGGATTTTCAAACATTTAACCCGCGCCTGTGGAGCAAATGGTTGAAAAAGAACAAGAGGTAGTTGGTTTAATTGTGTAGTGATAACAAGTGCCCGTAAGAATATATTTTAAAAATATTGAACACAAAAGTATTATAAAAGTTTAATGTCTTAATGTTTTTAATTAGATAAAATAAATATTAAATATTTTTAATATTTTAATATTCTTTTATTTAAAGTTTTGCACATAACTTAAGAAAATAATCAATATTATAAATTCTATAAAAAATTATTACTTAATTTCTTATTGTAAACTTCATTTGTTTCAATCATTTATTATTATTGTCAAGTACGGATTATTTATTAAAGATAAAATTATAAAAAAAAATATTCATTAATTTTAACAGTGTCAATAAACAAAACAAAATTATTAAAATGTTGAAGAAAGAAACAGAAGGAGTATAATAAATGTCAATAACAAATTTTTTTATTATATTTTTAGTAATTAGTTAATTTTGTTATAAAAATTTGTATTTTTAATATATGTATATATATATATATATATATATATATATACAAATTAAATGTATTAAAGATATTTAATGGAAACATAAGAGGAGATTAACTAAAGTGCATTAATTAAGGTATAATAAAATTATATTTTAATTAATAGTTCTTAATCTATGTGCATTAACCTTAAAATATTATAAGAATATATTTTCTTTTATTCTTCTAATTAATATTATGTTATAAAATAAATATTAACTTATATATATATATATATATATATAATTGTGAAAAGAATAAAGAATTATAATTCTAAGAATATTTAAAATTACAAGTCATGTTAACTATTGTTGACTCATATTAATTAAGAAACATTAAATATATTACAGTAAATGTTTTAAATTACATAGAAAACAATGTATTAAGTATTTTATTTACGTTTTAATGTAATAAATGCTCTTGTTCTTAATAATTTCCTTTCTACTTTTATCTTTTAAGTATATTAAATTTACACATTTACTTAAAATAATTCACAGTACATTCTTAAGTTTTTGTTATTTTTTAATCTTCAATTAATTTTTATGAAGATTTATACTTTGTTGATATTAATTCATTTTATCTTCTGCACTATGTACATATGTTTGAAAAACAAAACTTAAAATAGTAAGAATAGTGATTTTTGTGATAGGTATCCATAAATATTAATAAAAAAATTAAAAATACTTTTTGCATATAAAATGCAAAGATCATTCAATATTTTTTTGAAGTAATTAAAAATATAATAAAACCAGTCAAATTAATTTTAACTTATTTCTGTAAATATATATTAAAAAGGTACTATTATTATTATTATTATTATTATTATTATTATTAAATTTAATATAATAAATATTTTTAATAAAAAAATTGTTGACATTTGTTATTTTACATGTTCAAAATAAAAAATTCATTCAATATTTTGTAATGTAATTAAAAGTATTTAATAGAATATTTAATGCCTTTTAACTTAGGCTTGAATGCGTTTTCGTTTCATATATTTTACCTATGTACTATTTTGGAAGTTTTTCAAAAGTCTTTATATGATTATCAATTGACAAATTCTAATAAGTGTTTAAAAATTGTTTACTTAAAAAATAAAAAAAAATTGAAAATAATTTATTATTAGTTTTAATTTATTTTTAAAAAATATTTATTAAAATCCATAAAAATATTTACATATATTAAATTTTTATTGAATTTTAAAATTATTTATAATATTAAATGATTATATTGAAAATTTATTATACCAAATAATAAATATACTTATTTATATAAATAAAGAGTGAATATCTCATTAACACATATATCACATTAATAAAAAAATATACATAAAAATTAATAATTAATACACTTAAAAAATAATTGTTTATTTTTTATAATTATATTTTTATTAGAAATAATAAAGAATATAAAATAAAATAAAATCATTTAACAATTATTAATTAGTATCATTTACTCCTTCGTTAAGCCATTACACATACAGCAACATTCCTGACTGAGTTTTTAGTAAGAAAAATATTAAGAAATAAAGATGGGATCACCTGTTTGATAAACCTTAAAGATGACTGCAATAAATCAACTGCTTTCTCTCTCTAAGATTTGAGCCGACATGCAATTGGGTGAATGCATTTTTTCAGACGACCGCCGCTTCGCAGAGCTGAAACTGATAAAAGCTTTTCACTCTTCTAACACAATCCTTATTTTCTTTTTCTTTTGGATTAGAGCATGCAGATTGCAGGAATTGAGAGTTTATTTGGAGGTTATCCTTATCAGCCACAGCACTGAACAAATATATATAATTAGATTCTTGCAGATTGCAAGAGCCAAGAGGTCACAGGTGACTTTGGCTACCCTGGCCTTCGCCTTTATACTCTTACACGCAAAACTTTTCACCCAAAAAGAGGCAAATGAGAAAAAGACAAAATAAGGAAAGAGGTGCTACAGTGTGAAAAGGTTGACTTGACAATATAACGTAAGCCAAACCAAGATCAATGCGGTTAACCCAACCGTTACCTTTCTCTCTGACAAAGAAAAGTAATTAATGATGTGAGAGTCAAAGCTAATATACGCGTAAGAAACAAGCGAACATCTAAGCGTTGATGGTGGAATTGGGGAGAGATGTGGATGAATGAAACGGTTGTGGTTTGTGTGAGGAAATTAGGGAACTGTAGGAGTTGTTCTTGGGGAGCTTGGGTGGGTGAGTGCTGCATATATGGCGTTACCATAAACCAGAATGTGGGCCAAAAAGAGAAAGAAGAGATACAATGAATAAATAGAAGGTTAGGAAAGTAAAGAGAGAGTTTGGCCGCATGGAGTTATTTCAGAGGGTGTAAAAGCATTTATGGACGGACGACTCAAGTAAATATGGACAGAGAGAGAGAGTTGGCGCATGATATCATGTTTTAATTTTATAGTAATATTCCTTATGTTTCTATTTATTTATTTTAAAAAAATTTAAACTTAATTTCAAGAGTTAACTATAATATTTTAAATATTTAATTAATAAAAAATTAATTAAAATAAAATATTTATTATCTTCCTGTAATTTTAATACAAATAAATTTATTATTTTTAAATATTTAAACTCAACATTTTATCAGTAAAATTAACAAAATAAATAATTTATGTAAACTATATCATTCCACTAGCATAAATATTTTTATTCTTTAAAAATTACATAACGTTACATTTAATAAGAATCTATGTATATTTTTTTATTACAAATTATAAAATTTAATGTATTTAATAAATTAATATTATTAATTATTATATTTTTAATAAAAATTTATTATTTATTTTTTATTATGTATAATATTATACATAGAGGGTAGTTTATATTTAAATTTTTATTTAAAAAATAGTTTTGATAGCATAAACTCTAATATAAAGATAAATTTTAAAACTTTAAAAGTAATAAATTTTATTAAAAGGAAAAAAAAATAATTTAAAAATCCGATATAACATGACAAAATAAAATTGAAGATTTAATTGCTATTGTATGTTAAATTTTTTGGCATGATTTTTGTTTATATTTTATTTATATTTAACTTCAAAATTAAATAGTAAAAATTCATCTATTATTAATTTAAAATTATTTATATTTATAAAATATTTTAATTCAAATTAATAATATATAAATTCTTACTTTTTAATTTTATACATATTTTAATTATAGTAACTAAATCAATTTTAGTTATATTTTATAATTATTTTTTTAATTTGTGCAACATTGTACATAACAAAAAATTATATATAATAAATTTTTATTAAAAATTGAAATACTTAATAATTGTGATGTATTAAATTATATTGAATATTATAATTTTTTAATAAAAAGTTATTATATAAAACTCTTTATCCTGTGTACTATTTCACAAATTAAAGAAATGATGTCTTAATGGGAGTGAGAAAACTAATCAATTTACAATTTTATTTCAATTACCTTTAAAGCCGTAATTCATGTCTATTTCTTTCTCTTCATATCAATTTTGAATGACTGGGATATTCACCATCTATATATTTAGAATGCCCTCCATGTATTGAGTGAACCAATTCAAAACTTACAAGATGGTTATGATAAGAATGTGTGTTGTTATTTTCAGCGTGTCAAAATTAAGAGATCCGCGTGTTTATGTAATAATTTTAATTTATAAATATTTAAGCAATATCAATACTTATTTAATAATTATTTTTTATTATTTATTATTATTATTATTATTTTTTATTTTTTTAAATGTAAATAGTTCAAAAAATGTCTACTAAATATTTTTGTATTTAAAAGTAAAAACGTAAAAAATTAGAAAATATACAATCTATTATATTATATTCAGTAATTATAAATACTTTAGTAGAAGTAGAGATAAAAGCCTACTGTTTAGCTTGCTTTAAGCTTTTTTTTAAGGTCTGTTTAAGTAAATAAGTTAGACTTGAGCTGTTTACAAAGTCTGACAGATCAGTCTATATATATGAGGCATGATCTTCTAGCATGTAAGTCTAAAAACTCTTACACCTAATCTGAACTTTTTATTTAACTTAAATATTATTATTATTGAAAAATACAATTGTCAAAATGGGTTAAAGCCTAAAGTCCTACCCCACTTAACTTTTATATAATCCTATTTTCTTAAAGCCTTATAGTCAGTGGGTTAGTTTTCGCCCTAAGTTCCAATAGAAAAAAATGGTGGGTTAGTCCACCTATTTCTAAAAGTAATAAATAAATATTATATTATTTATTTATAATATTTATTAAATTATTTTAAAAATATTATAAAATTAAATTAAATCTATCTTTTACATTTAGTTAATTTTTTAATTAAATTTAATATAGTACGTTGATAATTTATGATTTTAATTAAGAATTAATAATAAATATTTTTAACTAAACAATAATTAAATAATAAAATAACATTTTATAAAATACTATTTAATGATTATTTTAATAAATTTAATTAATTCTCGTATATTTTGATATTATCTAATAACTTTTAATAGTTACACATTTAGTTTATATTTAAATATGGTATGGTACTCTTAAAAATTTTCAGGATACCATAAATAAAAAATTCTAACTAATAATATTTATACATGTATTTAAATAATAAATTTATTTAATAATTAATTATTATATTTTCTCTATTTAAATAAGTTAAAGACCTATTATGTCTTCGAACAAAATCAGGACGTAATCAAAATTAAACAACTAAAATTTAAAAATAAAATAATAATATTATATTAATATATTTTTATATTTTTAATTTTAATATTATTAATATTCAATTGTTTAATTATTATATTAATATATTATGTTATAATTTTTTATTTATAATAAAATAAAAATTATATTCTATTCAAAATTAAATAAAATAAAATAATAATATTAAATTAATATATTTTTCATATTCTTAATTTTATTATTATTAATATTTAATTATAATATTGATATTTTATATTATAATTATTTTTATTTATAATAAATATAAATTGCTTAAATATGAATTATATTATATTCAACATTAAATATTTAAAAAAAAATAGAAAAATAAAATAAAAATTTAATATACAATATATATATATATAATATAATCATGTAGTAAATCATATAAATAATAATATATATTTTTTTAACTTGCCATCTATTTCATTTTTATTGGTATAATTTTTTTGGGTATGATACCCATAAAAAAATTTTAGAGTACCATTAAAAATAAGGTGAATTCTGTGGTACTCTTAAAAATTTTTAGGATACCATACATAAATTCTAACTAATAATATTTAGATACGTATTTAAATAATAAATTTTTAATAATAAATTATTATATATGTTTCATTTAAACAAGCTTAAGAGAGTTAAGTTTTCAAATAAGATCAAGATGTAATTAAAACTAAACAAACTAAAATATAAAAATAAAATAGTAATATTATATTAATATATATTTTTCATATTCTTAATTCTATTATTCTTAATATTTAATTATTTATTTATTATATTAGTATATTATGTTATAATTTTTTATTTTTAATAAATAGAAATTATATTCTATTCAAAACTAAAAATATTATACACATGTTTAAATAATAAATTTATTTAGTAATAAATTATTATATTTGTTACATGTAAACAAGCTGAAGAATGATTAAGTATTTGAATAAAAACAAAATCCAATAACAATTAAACGAATTAAAATTTAAATAAAATAATAATATTATATTAATATATTTTTAATATTCTTAATTTTATTTCTATTATTAATATTCAATTATTTAATTATTCTATTAATATATTATGTTATAATTCTTTTATTTATAATAAATAAAAATCGCTTAAATATGAAATATATTTTATTTAAAACTAAAAATTTATAAAGAATAAAAAAAATAAAAAAAATATTTTACAATAATAATAATAATAATAAGATTATGTAGTAAATAATATAAATTATATATTTTTAACTTGTTACATATTTCATTTTTTATTACTATAAAGATTCACAATTTTGAGTGTTAAGATCTATTTAAAGTCTGTTTATTGCGTGTTTATTAATTTAGGTATGTTTAAGCTTGTTTGTTGGCCTAAATCTGATGATCTATGAAGAAATTTTTTTGCAAGACTTTAGATTAGTTTAGGTCGCCCAAACAAACTTTTAACAGATAATAAGTTAGACCTAAGTACAATAATTATATTAAAAATAGTGAGGCAACATTGATGAATAATTACTAATAATATATTTTTTTAATTTACTTGATTTTTCTTAATGCCAATAAAGCATGGCTTCTCTATGTACCAGCTTTATTCTCCAAAACCATGTTTCTTCACTTTCACACATTCATGTACCAAAGGCCTCAATCAAGTGGATTTACTTGTAAGAAGAAAATCAATGAAAGAATACACGGGTGTGATAGCTAATATTACCATTGGCATCCTAATACAAGATTTGACTCGCTGTAAAAGCTAAAACTAAGACTAGCAGTTTTTGAACTAAATCTACAGTATGCTGATTTCCACTTCGTACAGGGAATCGGGTAGGAAGGGAACACTCTTCACCATTAAAAAGAACCTTAGAAGGGAACCCATCTCCTTTTGTTATTTGGATGCCTGGTGTAAATTTCTTAGTAAAGGAAATAACAGACTGTTGTTTTCCGGGGACCTTTGGGTTTGTTCCATTGTCTTCACCCATCAAATAGTTCATTCCCAGTAATCCTTGCATGAAAATAGTGTGGTTTACTCGTGGAAGGAATGTCCCATTGAAGGAATAAGCTTTCTCAAACCCAATAGAAGCCTTCTTGAATTGCAATGCAGTGAACCAATTCTGAAAATTCAAAGCCCTCCAATTGAACAAAGTGATTCTAGCACTCCACCCACTTTTGTAATCTGAAGATATGTGCCAGTTTATGCTGACTCCACAATTGTCAGCGCATGGTAATTTTCTGGGGACACGAAAATGCTTTAACTTAGCCCAAGCAACTGCCTTTAGTGTCCTATTCTCAAAGGGCACAAGAAGAGCTTCTGAAGGAAGAAGCATTGCTGATGCGTTGGGATTGCAATGGTCTGTATCATCACAACCACAGGCACATGTGTTGCAAGGAATTACGGACTCATTGTAATAAGCAGAGAAAGAAACACAACAGCGAGTGTTCTTTCTGGTTGTCCTAGCGATATTGCACACTATTTGCCAACTTGTTATAGCAAAAACTGAAGCATCAAGTCCCCTAGGGTCTGGAAATTGTGAAGGCTCTACTCTAAACGGTGACCCACATTTGTATTCTGGGTTAATTACTCCATATACTTTCCATCTGGATGGAGGGTAGATAGCCGTTTTATCCAAATCAGGTGGAATTTTGAACACCTGCATTTGGAAAACAGACTTGGACTGGCTTGGATCCATAAGGGTAGGTAAAAGAGTGCCATTTTTGCAGCAGTAAGGTATTTTTCCAATGTCAGTGTCGTTGTATTGCTCTGGAGGCAAGTCACTGATTATTGGATTCTTTTGACAGTTAAGGACTTTAGTGAAATCCATGTCGTTGTAGTACTCTCCTGCAGGACCATAGATGCAACCTGAAGAGTCCATAACGCGCGTGAAAGCACCTTTCATGTTGTATATGAATTCCCCTCTCGTCCATTCCCAAGTCAAGTTCCAATGATCTAGGCGCCCCAAAGGGTTAAGATTGTCCATGGTCACCTGAACAAGATAATTATTTGTATAAACTTGAAGGACGTCGTAGGTTATGGAAAGATCCCCTTTTTGCCGTGGCAAGAATTTTGTCTTCAACAGTGTAGACTTGCGTTTACGGTCTTTTTTACAGCATGCCCACATGGAACTCTCTGAGGAACAGGTTTTTACTAGTTAGAATAAAACTCAAGAAATAACAACTCCTAAAGAATCATGTTTTGAAATCACCTAACACACAAGTTACAACTAGTAACATTATAATATTAGTGAATTCATGATCGATCAAACGTGAATCTAAACACTTGAACTTTTTGTGTTTATATCTCTCTTTTCATAAATATTGACGAAGATGACCAAATACTCACTGCGGATTCCTGGTTGGGGGCACTTGTATCCATCATTGACCAACTTTATGGTTTTAGGCATAGGAATTGCAGGAGGCTTAACTCCAAACTGGGTGCCAAGAAGTTGAATGGGAACCTGAATTTGAGACAAATCTTCGGCTGTGTCGATGGAAGTTTCCAAATCTGGCAGAGCATTACCAACAAAGATAGCGCCATTTTCAACCGAAGCAGGGAAGCCAGCTCCATTGAATAAAATAGCTCCAGTGGCAGAGACTAGAATCTCATCGTGTTGAAACCCTACGAACAATTGCCATGCTTTAACTACTTCGGTGCCTGTGTTAAGAACTGTTGCAGTGGCATTGAAGGCCCAAGATTGTGCCGTCACGTTCCTGAGGCGAGGGAATTCCTTTCTTCTGCTGTTGAAATCATAGGAAATGAAAACCCCATCACAGCTTTCTGCTGCCGGAGGGATAGCCTCTGGATCTTGACCTTCACACTCATAAATTCCACTTGAAAACAACACTACCACGAATGATAATGATATATATATCAAAGCACTTTTCATGTCTTTATTTGCAGTCGTGCCCCTAGCATAATGCAACGTGAGAAATTGAAAACTGGGGTCCTAGATTGCGTATCATGGTTGGGATTTGGAGGGAAAAAAAACGGTAGTTGTAAGACTAAAGAATGTTTGAAAGAAAAGTGTGGAGGGGAAGTTAGTGATGTGTTATCGAAGTATGGGTGAAGAATAAGTCACATGGGAACCTCAACCTTTAGTATGCGATGGATTTGGCGGGGGGAAAACTAACTGTAATTTGAAATCTCTATTTTTGTACTCGGTTGCTTCACTCTTAGTAAAGTCAGTGAAACAATTCCTTTTATCTCGGGACAGGATAGTAGAAAAGTTCGTAATATCAGTAACATTCTACTTTTTGTGTTTTGGTGTTTTAAGAATGGTTTACTTTGTCCGAATTTCTCTTAAATAACTTTTATTATATTATTCACTTTTTGAAATTATTAGTGCTCTTGACTTTAAATCTCATAATTCTCTCATCTATCAAAGAATTTGAAAGTACTACTTAAATTTATTAACTTGATTGATGTAATTTTCTTTCTAATATTTTTGATCTCTTAAAATTTTCTTTAGCTACTCTTTTTTCATTTAATTTTTTTCTAAAACGGTTGAAATTTTTTTTTATAATCACTATTATAATATCTAAAAGAGACTGTTTATCTTTTATTTTAGTAATGGTTCTTTATTTATTTGAAAGAGAGACAATAATTTCTTTTTAATTATATTTATAATTATACTTCTATTAATTCAATTTTTTATAATTAACAATCATCACATTAATCTTTTGTCGACATAAAAATTTAACAAATTATAAGTATACATTATATATTAAAATTATTAAATCATCATTTTAAATTAATTTGAAATAATTAGATTATGACGATCATAAATTGAATATTCAACTACATAATTTCTTTTAAATATTATAAAACTAACTCAAATCAATATAACTTTAATTAGTTTATCACATACCATATTCTATCAATTCTTTGATTTTAGTCTATTAAAACCCTTCACTAAAGTTTCTAAAATTTTAAACTTTTCAAAATTCAATATCAAAAACAAAATATTTTAACTCGTGAAATTATAAATTCTTTCAAAATATTAAATTACTCAATTAAAATATCTCATCTAAACACTCTCTATATATTCTTAAAAAAAATTGCTAGCATAATGATTCTGTTCAAGTGAGCATCAATTACTATTTCCACCCCCGCCCCCTCCCTTTATGTCCATTCATTTAATCTGCAAAACTGACAATACGACCTATAAATTTAAGGTATACATAGATTTGATTCACATAAAACCAAACACCCGCACACAACCAATCACCCTATTAACAACAATTGCTTTTTAACTGTATTTGTCCTATCCCGTTAGCAAGTAATTTGGTTTCTCTCTAAGTGGATTAGGATTTACTAAACACCATGGGATTTTTAATAGCTCGCTCTTTTTCCTTTCTTTCCCTAACGTCCCCCAATAAGGGCATAGCTTTTGCCATTCGCATTGCCAAATATTTTTCCCTAAACCAACTTCATTGTCTTGAACATTCTAGAGTTGAGCTATTGGTGTTGGTTCTCTCTCGCAATACATAGCCTTTGACCTTGCTGCTTTTGATTGCCTTGATGAAGTAGATGAAGATTTGGAAGAGGTAGTTGACTTCGTCTTATTTCGCTTATGCTTCTTAAGAACTTGAGCAACCCCATCAGGTGGAATGCCTTGATAAATGTTTGGCGTTGGTTGATTTTCTGTGGGCTCTTCAAAATCTGTTCAAAGGGTAAGAAAGATTAACTAAAATTTATTAAACTAGATTGTGAAATTAGAAGTGTTTGGTATAATTAACTTTAAATTATTGTATCTGAGTTTTATATAATTTTTTAGCAAAATTATATTTTTAAGGCAATTAGTTAATTTTGAAACTTTCTTATTTTTTTAAAATCAATTTTTTTTTAAACTAAAATAGATAATGTAAATATTGTAGTGATTAAATGTATAATATAACATTGAAAAATCATTTTTAAAGATCAAATATTTTCTGACATTCACGACTGCTTTTAAGAAGTAGCGGTAAGAGTGTGTAAAGATACCTAGAAAAGACATGGTTAAGGTAAAGTGAAGGTTAAAGGCTTTTATAAATCAAGAGGAGATAAAGGAAAATTTTCTTATAAAATATTGAGGATAAAATTGAAGGAAAAAACTCATAAACTAAGCTAAAAGACTATGAGTTAGCAAGATAAGATCATTAACCAAACATCTTTATTTTGAGATGCAATTAAAGATAAATTACATATGATTACTATTTTGAGGTGTAAATAAAAATAAGAAGAATGCTAGCAACATAATCTTTGTAATACAATCTTTATTATTAGTTAAAATTATAAAAATAATATAAATTACACTCATTTTCACTATAATTTAATATTTATCTCTTTTATTTTTATAATCTTCAATAAATTTCAGACAATAATAAAGAATATATTAAAAAGAGTATGTCAAAGAGTGTATTGTTAATATTTATCTTTTTTATACCCTGAAATTTGCAAGGAAATAAAATTGAAAATCAGTAGAAGTAACGTAAACTCATGCTTCTAATTTACGTAGTTGTGTCTATGATGATAGAGGGAATTAAAACAGTATCGTACACCACAACGACAGCAGTCAAATATAAGCAGCGGGAAACCACTTTCAGGGGAAAAAAATCAACCCCAAAATATAACTTACTTCCCACAGAAAAATTCTAAATTATTAAATTATACCTATTTAAATAATAAAAATATTTTTAGAATACTTGTAAAATTTTTGTTATAGAATTCTTATGTTAAATGTAATAAATTTTAAATAACATTTTTAAAGAAAATTTAAAAATCGTCTCTTATACTTGACAATTTGTAATTATCGTTAATAAATGTTAAGCAATCCTTATTATTATCTCAAAATTCTCCGTACTTTTAAAACTATCTATCTGAATAGAACTCCAATGGAAACAATTTTTCGGGAGAGAACTGCCACATCCATTCAGGCATTCACTCAGCCCCATCTTCAAAATAGAGATTATTATTAGCTTGGGCCCAATTGTAAGGAGTCTTAAACTCTAAACAGGCACTAGACCTACCCATAGACATATTAATATAACGTGTGTATGTATTGGCACCCTTCATAGGCTATTCTTATGCCAGAACCGAAAGGGGTGGATACTCTCCCCTTCGAGAAAAACATAAAAACTAAATTCTTCTTGACCAAACGTCTATCCAATTCCAACTATAGCTCCCCAAACAGAACGTTCCAAGAACTACGCATCATCTCAGCAATTCTATCAAAAACCCAGTTCGCAGGTAACGATTGCATTATTCCCAACTAATTAGTATATAAGCAGACTACCGTTATAAATCACACCAAATTCTCATCAAGCATTGTGGTGTAAAAAAAAAAGCCTTTATTTGGGTAATGTGAATGTGATGCCCTCAGATTAATATAATCAAACCACTCTCAGATGAATAAAACTCTTAACGGGGTCCACTAAAAACGGTGTAAATAAAGCCAAGTTTGCTCGTGACAGAACCGCCAAACTCTTACCACGGGGGCAAGGAATCTAGAATAATAGCTTTTGCAAGCCTTACAAATTTATCTCCACCGAACACAACAGACACATTAATAATCAAATACATATTCCCTTGCTTGTAGTAGATCCGTGAAAGGCCTTTCTGTTGTATTATTCATATTCAGGACAGGGAGATTACACAGTTCCACATGAATACAGCATAGCAATAAAATAATAGCATCAAATTAGGAAGCCAAGACAAAATTTGACTCCAATCAAAAGTTGGTTTGTGAGAAGTGACAAAGCATCATACATACCTCGGGTGGAGCATGATGTGGCGATAGGCATAGGATTGGGCCTTGGGTCTCTTCGTTCACTCAAACTACCAATTGATGTTGAAAAATCAGGGGCCATCTTAAATTCATTCATCTGTGTTTTTTTTAAATAAAAGAATAGACAAAAATGATAAATTTGATCTTAGATAATTGCACAATGAAGAGATAAAATGTACTACACACGACTAGTATGAATTCCATACCCAACTGGGCCCAGTCCCGGAGGGTCCATCCCATCCGATGTGAGCCACATGCTTAACATCTGTCGGATACCCAATTTCCATTTCTCGCTCCTTCACAACTACAAGACCCACTTCCCAATTTAGCCCAAAAAAGCATTGAAATTTAATACTTTATACATTGGGAGTGTACGAAGATAGATATATTACCAAATAATTGGGTAATGTATTTGAAACCTTTGTAGATCCCTTTAATCTTTGTTGCCATGGTGGAATCACAACCTCAATGATTTCGTATAAGGATGAACTAACTGAATTGTCACAAAATGGTTGCACTGAGATGAGATGTGATTGATTTGTGTTACAATATATACAACGGTCAATTCAAAAAAAGGGGTAGAGTGTCAGCTAAGGCTTCACTGCATGTGAGTTAGGAACCTCCCCTTTTTTATTAGTCAGCGGCTGAAGATTGGTATCTGATTATCGAAAACAAAGATGAGTTTAGTACCTTAATAATGTGAAGATTTTAGTTTCAAAATTTTCAAGGGAAAATTGGATTAGAGTGTCCAAAAAAAAAGGATCATCAACAACACGGTACCTGAAGAGGATTATGAAGATAAAGGCGCTAGAGAAAGCGTTGAAACGGAGAAGCTGGTTTTCCTCCAACTCCAGTCATTGCTCTGGGATCCATTCGTCATCATTCTGAAACTACTTTAGAGGGTAAATGCTGACGCATGCAAAGCTTTTGTCTTCCTTATTTCAGGGTTGCTTTAAAATGGCACGCGAAAGATTAGGAATGCTGCATCAAATGATGGAAAGAACAAACGGGATTTTTAAAATTTGAGATTTTTATTGGTGAGAGTAGTGAGTTGGAACAGAGAAAAGAGAGTTGATTTCTAAGGAGGCAGAATAGATGGTGGGGATCCACGAAAATATGAAAAAACCAGTAAATGAAGGCTTGGAAGAAAGAGAGAGAAGAGGAGGAGTAGGACAAAGATTTCAGAATGGGAAGTAATTTGAAAATAATGGGTTAATGGGGTTGATTTATTAAGAGAAGAGGTGTCCGTTATTTCAAAATATATTATATTCATATGATAGCATTATATATTTAATAATATAAATTTTTTATATTGCATTATTTGTTTTGTTTTGTTTCTTATTCGTTTCTCCTTTTTTTCTTATTAGTTCGAATTATTATATATCTTTATTTTAATAAATGTAATATCTCCATTGTGACGGTGATGTGATGGATGTATGAATGTGGATGTGGGGCTTGGTTGTTGAGCGAGAAAAGCGCGGGTCTTTCTATCTTGTTGCTTCTTTCGTTTCTCCAAATCTATACATATAAATAATTTTTTATTATTTTAAAATAAACATTGAATAAAAATTATATATTTATCATTTTAAAAACATAAAATATATTAATTTTTTATTTAATAATTATAAAAATAAAGAGTCGAAAATTTTAAAATTATTCTATCAGATGTAAAATGTTTTGTCTCTCCGGAAGGGGACGTGAAAGATAGCCCAAGGGATTTAGATATTATCTAAGTGAAAAAATTTCTTGCATTAAATCTAGTCAATTTTTTACCATTCATTATATTAAATATTTATATTTATTATTTTAAAAGTAATAATTTACTAATTTAAATTATCAATATTTTTTCAGTAATATTGTCCGGAGCGATCCAATTTCATAGACCAAGGGAGAGGGATCATAGGGAGTTTTCTGGTCTATCCAGCATATCAACTTTTTTTATATCTTATTGTAACTTTGTAAGTAACTGTTTGATAAAATCAATTAAAAACTTAGGTTTTATAATTTATAATTGATACATTATTAAGAGTTTAAGATATATCAATGTGATTAACTAAATAAAGGTAAGCTATTTTTTTTTAAGAAAAAAGAAGTTACTAAGATATGAACTTTGCTTTTAAATCTCAACTCACTCTAGCGCTTCATAAGTCACTTTATGCAAAATTTATACCTAACAGTCAGGACAGTTTTAATCAATTTATAATAAATGTGGGCAAACTACTTAATCACACAATTGTCTAATAATTTTTCTTTAGATGAGAGTTTATTCGTAAGATTAATTATGAAGCATACTAAAATATGTTTTTAGTGATGATAAAATCTTTAGCTTTTTTAAATATTTATTTATTAAAATTATTTAAAAATATATACATTTTACAAAACATAATTATTATTTGTAAATAAAGAACAAACATCAAATATTAAGATTATTTTCATTAATATAATTTTTATCGAATGAATATTGAATTGTTAATAGTTATTAAAGGTTTATACTAACAATAAAAAAAGTTACATCAATATTTAATATCTTAATAGCATATATTAATATCTTGTATCAACAAAATTATTTACTAAGATAATATGTTTTTAATTTCAATTACATTTTTCACACTAAAAATTTAATTTTAGTAGATAAAGACTGTACAAACAGAATATAAAAATATACTAATATCTTTTAATAATTGATAGCTTTTTGTAATAATATAAAAGATATTAAAATAAATATTAAAAAAGACTTATCAAAATATCATAAACCACTCCTATAAACTCAAACTTCCAAACACTTCTATAGTGGGTTAAGATAGAATGATGACTTTTGTGGAGGTGACACAAATAATGATAATTGTGAAGATATTGCATTCAAGTGCTGCTGGTAAGCATTGATTTTCTAATAAGAATAAAAGGCAGAAACATTTCCTGCACGCAAATTTGTTTTGCTTTGGTGGCATATCTGACAGAATGGTTGGAAGCACGTTTCCAGTTGTGTATTATTAGGAGCGAAAGCCCTCCCATCTCTTTTTGACAGTACCCTTCCTATCTTTATTTCTCGGTTTCCTGGGACACAAATGTGCCCCATTTCCTAAAGAAATCCTTGGACACTATTGGTAGTGTCCTTCACTTCATATCCTTAAAAAATTCTATGACTAGTGGAAAATCCGACAAAGAGATTCTTTCTTGGCTTCATTAATGAACACCTTGCTGCCTTACAACTTCCTAATCATAATGCCAAATAAATCCGCCATTAGGCTCAATCATATTGCTTCACATTATCATGGGACGAATATGAAGTCTCGTAGTGTTGTTAAAACCCTTTCTTAAAAAATCAAAATACAAAAGGAGTGAGAAAAACAGATACATCTTTTCTGCTTTGCCTGGTCAAGATTCAACAACTTTGAATCTGACCAGCAATTGGAAAAATTAAATTATTGAATATGCTTTCGTGTCATATTACGAGCGAATTCACATATTTTAATGAAATTATAAAATTTGGTGTGTACGCATTAACATTGTATACAAAAATTTAAATCGCGGTAAAAGTTAATGCATAAACGATGTGCATCGTGCATAACCCCGGCTGTATATTCATATCTCCATTAAGAGAAACAAAGACGAAGTTGGGTTAAGTTGAACAAATATATTTTTCATATTAGATGCAGTACGTGGGAACTAAGAGGCTATTGGAATTTCTCATAATAGCGATTTTCCAAACTTCATTTTGCAAAACAGCACAGGGCTTTTATTTATAATATTAAACAAGCACAGGCCTGCTCTATAAAACCCACTGCTAGAGGCCCTCAATGTAGTTGACCCCAGTGTTCTTCAACCATACATCACCTTGGATGAACTGTTTTACGGTGAACTTGGAGGCTTCGGCTTCACTTGTGATGATATGGTAACCAGGCCAATTCACCCTCTTGGCGGTACCAGCACCTGGCCCCTTATTCATATACTCTCCGTAATACAACTTGTACAAAAAGTCCTTACTCTTGTCATCCCATTCGGCCCATCCAGCTGGGTCAATATGGTTGCTCAGCAACGATTGCATCACAACGGTTCTGGAGAAATTCTTCCACGGGCGGCCCAGGAAAGTTGGAATGGAGTCCATCACAGGCTTAAGATCGGTGCTTGGAATTACATCACATTGCTGAATTGAAGTTCCTGTGTTCTGGTTTGGATCATCTCTTCCTTGGGCCGTCACCATGTTCTTCTGGTTAGCCATGGGCTTTCGGGCCACCAGCTTGCACTTTTGTAACACAACAGCTGCGTTTCCAAAGATGAAGTCAATGGTGCCGGTGATGAAGGAATCACGGTAGAATTGCCTGTTCGAGTGGGCATAAAGAGTGTCTTGATAGGCGTCTATGCGACACCGGTTTATGACGGACCGGTCCGCCCCCACCCGGAGAGCCACTGCCTGGTGCTTCTGTGGCCCTGCTGTGTTTTGGAACCTAATATCTTGGGCTATGAATCCATCGCCCACCGCCGCTGCAAAGCAAGATCTTCATAAGGTCAATACTGAAGGGCCAAAAAGCCATTAGTTGGCTTTATATATAATATTATAATCAATGAATGAGTTCTTTTGTTGAGCTAAAAAAAACGATAAGCTTGTTTAAGACTTGATATTTGGGAGAAGATTTTAGTTCTATTTACAAAGAGAAAGCATGAAAAAATAAAGTCTTACGAAGGGAAGACTTGAGCTCAGTTGTCTACTATTTTTTCTTCTTTGAAAAAGATGATTGTGCTGTTAAACACACATGCACCTGTTCTTTAAGAGATAGAAAAAATAAAAGTAACGGTAGAAAGATGAAAAAATAATTGAAATGCATGAATGTTATTGTTTTTTTTTTCCTTCCTGTGTACTATTAAACATTGTATATATCTAGATCCTTTAGCTGTCCCCAGACTTTGAGTAAATAGTATTTACTTTATATTTTAAGAATAAAATTTATATTATAAATAACTACACAAAGTGAACGTTAATTAGTGGAAAAAAATACAAGAGCTGCGTAGCGTAATTAAGATGAACGATGAAAAAATATCGACACGTCCCAAAGAGAATATAAATAAACTGTATAAATTTAAACTGTAGCAAGTATTAAAAATAAATGGGAAATACAGAGAAAGAAGTGTTAGGGAAGATCCGTACCAACAGTGGCAGTTTGGAAGGTGCCTGTTCCGTCGACGTGATTCAAGCTGCCGGTGATAATAGTTGAATCCATACCGTCGCCCACCAGCATCACGTTCCACTTTTTGCTACCAATTTCAACGTTCTCTTTGTACGTTCCCTTTTTCACGTAAATGACGTACCTCGTCTTATGCTTGTCGGGTACGGATGCCACGGCCTCTGCCACAGTCTTGAACTTGCCACTCCCATCTGCAGCCACCACAACATTGGCCTGAATATCCCCACCCCAAGACTGCAAAAGCTTCCTATCTTTGCTTGTCACCCATGAAGGAAAGTCCCCATTTAGTGGCTCTTCAATGAGTTTTTGGTCCTTTGGCAAAACAGCAACAAGCATGGCCAGAGAGGTTCTTGCTCTCGAGATCAAGTCCTTTAGCTCAGCCTCCATAAGGGCCTTAGCGGTGCCCTCTAATCCATCCAAGCAAGTTGCATGGTTAGTGAGGACGCTGCTTAGCCACGTGTGTGCATCTTGCTGAGAATCAGTGGTGTCTTTAGTGAGAGCCACCATTGAGTCCCAAACTCTGTCCATCGACAACTCCATCAGTTCCTCGCAGTCCCGCAAGGCTGCTTCCTCCCTCGGATTGTTGATCCTTTGTTTAATAGCTTTGGCTGTGTCCATAGCATTCTGAATGTGTGAATTGGACTTCATTAGGAAGGAGTGCAGCAAATTGTATTTGTGGTCTTTTGTGGGGGTGCTCAAGAAAGGACCTTGAGCTACTTCAGAGACATGTGCCAAGCAGGATGCAGTATCAAGAGCATGATCACAGAGATGGTTTGGTGAGGAGAGGTTGAAGAAAGAGGTGGGATTGATGAAGTAAGAAGCAATAAGGGCTGATGAGCTTATGACAGCAGCTATGGAGACGACTAAGAAGATAGTTTTGAAATGGGATTTTGTAGGCTTGTTTAACAGAGATTGTTGGGGAGCCATGCTGTTTTAAGGCACTTGCTGCTCTGGAGACTAGAAGGTTTCCTACACAGCCCTTATATAGATCAATAACTTTAGAATTTGTTTTATTTTCAGTTTTTAATCTTCTCCAATAGGTGATTCAGAAAGTTAAAATGTGAAGAAATTAAACTTTTAAAAGTTTACATGTCATCATTTGCTTTAGCTACAATATATGTGGAGCGTAGCTACGTGGGGGTATTTTTATATTTTTTTTAATCTCATTCTTTTCCTTTTTATCTATAGTCCTTCCACCTTCACACTCAAAAGCAAAAAGTAAAATGTACGAGAATAATTATCCTCAAAATAAAGACATTTTGTATAACACTTGATGAAAAGTAAAATCATAATATCTTTTAACAATTTTATGTGATAATTTATAGTTTTTTTAAATATATTTTTAAGATGCATGTGTGTATATAAAAATATAAAATTAAATACAGAGATAATCATATATTATATTTTATATTTTAATTTTTTTGACAAGATTGCAATGTTATGTGCTACATGTAATGGACTTTATTATTGAGCGAGATAGATATATTATCCTTATTTTCAAGATAATTTTTTTTCTAAAACAAATTTCATTATTTAAATAGTATAACGGACTGGAATACTTAAAGATCTAAATTCTCTACAATTTGTGCAAATATTGGACGTCTTTCACATAAACAACATATAATTCGTTTAACCAATATGTTTATTTAAGCAATTATGATTTCTTGAAGCGAAAAATCAACAAAGACTACCGATTGGGAATAATGACAATAACTTAAGCGAGAAATTTATGCTTCAACGAAATAGAAATTATTTAAGCAAAAATTAGATAAAGAGTACACTTTCTCTTACATTTGAACTCACTTAAGTAAAATTTAAATTGCTCTAAGTAAAGTAAAATTTGCTTCAACAAAACATAAATGACTAAAGTGAAAATTGAATAGAGAGAAATGTTATCATGACAGGTATTTTTGTTTAAGTAAAGCTTAAATACCTTAAGATAAATATGAGCATTTATGTCAAGTAAGACTTGCTTAAAGTAATAACACAGAAATTGAAAGGAAGATAACAGAAAATTAGAGTTTTAATATAACAAACAAGTAAAGCAAAATTTATCATAAAATAAATAGTTATAATGTTAGATATTTATATTATTTACAAATATTGCATAACTAAGTTCAAATTATGAGCAATCTTTGAAAAAATACAATGTCTGCATTCTTTTCATGTTGTTCACACAATAGACTAGAGAGCGGTTCTGTATCATTTTAAAAAGTGATTCAAACCACTTTAATAAGCATTGCTATCCAAAATAGATGTCACTTGAAAAGCGATTTATATAATTGTTCTTCAAAATATGAGTATAAATTACAAATCTAAAATTTGAAATTTCTTTTTTTATAAACAATTTTCTATTACAGACCAAAATTAATTTATAATTATGTTAAAATTTGAATTTATATATCTTACATTTGGAATATCTTCATTTTTATCATAAATCAAATGATTATTTGTCTCTCGCTTTGAAACTTGAGTTTGTATATTGTGTTAACCAAATAGTCAACATCTTCATCAACTAAACACTAGTAAACAGAGGAAAAAAGGAACAAATTAATAAAATTTTTTTACTATTAATAGAAAGAAAAAGAGAATGAAGAAAATTATGAGAAAATAATTACATATGTAAAAGAAATCAACTTTGTTAAAGCAAAGAAGATGAATATGATAAGAGTACCTACAAATGTGAAAGAGACTAACTTTATTAGAACAGAGAAGACGAAAGGTTTTATAAGTTGTGAGTTGAACACAGTGACGGATCTAGAATTTTTTTGTTGTGGGGGCAATATGTACAAATTTTACTGCATTAACAATATAACATAATATTTTAAAGTATAAATACATATCATAATTGTTCTCTACGAGTTTTCATATCCTAGAAACAATGAATAATTTTCTCATTTTCAATATTACAAAAAATCTCTCTCTATATATAAGTAACCAAACAATCATTCAAACATTCATCTCCCATGCAGTTTCGCATCCAATTCTTGATGATATTCATGGTAGAGAAAGCTCGTTCAACTGTTGCAATTGCCACTGGTAGTATTAACGCTAACTCTAAAAGCAAATAGACCAACATATACACAACATGTTTTTTTGGTCTCCATAAGCTTTATGCAAAGATCACTAATCCCCCTAGTTCTGAAAATGCACTATCAGAGTATACATCTATAAAATAATTTTCAAGTTGACTATCTAGTGCCAAAAGTGCAATAGGAGAAAATTCTAAAGGATAAAATTGAGCAAGACGAATCAACTTCTCCTTATCAAATGTAGAAAATGAATCTCTTGGATTTAAACATGCTACACAAAGAAACAACTCAGTATTCACTTCTGTAAAACGATTATTCAACTCTTGAAGTTGTCGATCAATCACTTGATAGAATAATTCAACTTGAAAATGATGTAAATTAGATACTTTTTTCATTTTGCGTCTTGACCTTCCTTTTGTTTGAAAGGTATCACTCATATTTGGAATGACAACATTGTGCTTTTCACAAAATAATGAAACATCAGTCAACAAAAAATGCCAACCATCATCCCTCATAGCTTGTAACCTCTATTTGGACACTATAACTAATTTCATAGCATTTACAATATCTTGAACATTTCTTTGTAATGCTTGAGATAACTCATAAGTAATCGCCAAAATATTTTTCATCAAGTGCAAGATGAAAATAAATTCAAAAGATTACATAGAATTAAACAAAGCACATGCTTCAGCTTTTTGCTCTTAACTAATGCCGTCTTCCTCAACCTTTTCAAGCACATCAATCATAGAAGAGAACAAAGAAACTAGATTAAGTAATGTACCATAATGTGAGCTCCATTTAGTATCTCCTGCCTTCTTGATTGTAGTTTCTTGATTCAAACCACTTCCATTGGAGATTTCTCCTTTTTGTAATGCTTCTTTCACCTTTGCAATTTGACTTTCACGAAGAATATCGATGCTTACATGATGCTCCAATAACATTAGACAAATTAGCAACTAAATTAAAAAATAATACAATTTCAATATGCTTTTTTACTACCATAACAAGAGCTAATTAGAGTTGATAAGCAAAACAATGAATATAGAATGCTGAACAATTCTCCCTTAATATTAAGCACTTTTGAGACCATTGAATTCACCTTGCATATTACTTGCTCCATCATATCTCCATCATATCCTTGTCCACGTAACCTTGACAATCTTAACCCATATTTGGCAAATAAAGACTCCAAAGCCGATTTTAATGATAGAGCATTAGTATTAGAAACATGAACAAGACCAAGAAAACGCTCCACAACTTGCTCTTTCTCATTCACATAACATAAAGTCACAACCATTTGTTCCTTAACAGAGATATCTCGAGATTCATCAATCAAAATAGAAAATAAATTATCTCCTAGATCTTCAAGTATAACTTTAGTGGTTTCACAAGCATCAGCTCTAACAATATCTTTTTGTATTGTAGGAGCTGTTAACTTAAGATTTTTACGAGCATTCTTCAAAACTTTATGAATAGTTTCATTATGGTTACCAAGAAAATCCAGAAATTCAAGAAAATTCCCTTTATTACATGATGACATTGACTCATCATTACCACGAAAAGCCAACCCTTGGCATAATAAAGATTGAATGCAATCAACTATTGCAATCAAATGAATTCGGTATTCCTCTTTAACTTGACGAGACTGTTTACATATGGCAACATTAATATGTTGCTTTTGTTTCATTAGAGTTTCACAATTTCTCCATGCTTGATTATGAAAACTATTTGGGCCTCCTACATGAACTTGAAACTTGTCACTTTTTTCCCAATTTGTAAAACTCTATGTTATAAATGCATCACCACTACCTTTATGTTCTCCAACATGTGATCTCATAAGATAACAACATAAGCAATATGTCGCATCCTCCTTTTGACTATATTCTAACCAATTGCCATATTCAGAATATCAATCTGGATTAAATTTATAAATTGTATCCCCAAATTGTCTTTGTGGAAAATTAATCTCTTTTGGTTGACAAGGACCTTTTTGCAAATAACATCTCCTAATTTCATCTCTATCACTTGGATGATAATATGACTTTTTGGCCTTAAACCAGGATCATTAGGAAGTTTTTCCAAATCAAATTCTAAAAATCTTTTTCTATTGGATGGACCTAATATTATACTTCTACATTTGTCAAGTACTTGAGCAGAAGATGATTGTTCTGATGTTGATTTTCTTTTGAAAATCTTTCCATTGCTAGAAATAAAATCAATATAATCATAATTAATTTCATGTTCATAAAACTAAAATCAACAATAAAGATTATAATATTTTACGTAAAAATAACAAGAAGTCTTAAAACTAATACAAGTAATCCAAATATCTAATAATAAAATAGAGTAAATCAAATAATCAAATAATTTATTGATAAAACAGTAACAAATGCAATGGAGCAAACAAAGAAATATATTACAGTTGAAAAAATAAAATTAGGAGGTGAAATGTTATCCAATATTCTCTAATTGTTGGACAGCTCACAACTTGTTGGATAAAAATTTGTTGAACAAAAAATTGAAGCTCTGACACAAAAAAAAAAAAAAAAGAACCGAGAGTTGTTGAACACTTGAAGTGAAACTCACAGCATAATCACATAATATTCTTCCTTTCCTTTCTCCCAAGTTCACAATCACAAATAGAAAAGTAAAACTACAGAGCTAAACTCAAGAAGTTGAAAGAAGTTGTAAAGTTTCTCCTGTTGATAGCATTTGCCAAATAGCTATTGAAGTGAGAAAAACGGAGAGGCCTAGACATAGAAGTTAAAAAGGTATGTACTTGAGTTGTTAGAAAAGTCATAAGACAAGAAAGGTGAGTGTCATTAAAGTAATTTTAGCAAAATTTGGGGGCAATCATTTAATAAAATAAAAAGTGGCTGAAGTGTGTTTCCTTGATAGTGAAGTGGGGGCAGTTAAAATATAATAGAGGAGGCAATTAAAATATAATAATATATATATTAGTAAAAGAAAGTTAAAACATAGTGGTGATACTTGCCCCACTCAAATACTAGTGCATTCGTACTTGGTTGAAGATATTTTATTTACAAAATAAAAATTATTAGTCATTTTAAAATTTTAATTTAATTTGTAAGAGGTGTTGATTGTATCTCTACAAGTCTTTTTTAGAGGCATTCTAGAAAGAGATTCTCTACTAATCATTCTCTTAGTTGACGAATTATAAAGTAAAATATGTTGTAATGGTTTGTGCTCATTTAAGAAGGGAGTCGTGTCTTCAAGCTATAAGATATGTACTGCAAATTCTTCAAGTATAAGCTATGAGAAAAAACATCGCCTTGATACTAATGTAAGGTAAAATAATAGAATGATTCAGTTTGCTGTTAGCTACCAGTGTATGTGTGTATAGACTTGATGATTGACATTCATCTAATACTTTATTTGAGAGACTTTATAAGTATTATGTTTGAGATATTTGACAGTGCTATTTGTGGTGGAAAAAAGATCTAGTGTCTACTTTAATAAATTGGTAAAATAATTATCGATAAACTTGATAGGCTTTTTTTAATTTGATAATTGATGCAGAAATGAAGAGACATAAAAAGTAGTATTGATCAATATTAGGAATCCAAGTATTCTCGCAAGGGAAGAGTTTGACATTATAGATGACAATGTTACAATGACAAAGTTAATGTTATAATCTTCATGATATTATTAGATGATATGGGTCCAAAAACCGCACATATAAAGTGAGTAATTGAAGCAATATGACAAATATTAAAGAGGTCCATATTTATTGCGAGAATCTTGAAACTCTCTTGAACCTCAACTTGCAGATTTGTTGATAATGCGTAATATCTCAACTACGTTGCCCTCCAAAAAATCTCGTTCGGCGCCTTCTCCTAGGCTGACAGTGACACACACATCTGGAATGTATCCAGTTCCAATTTTTAGTAGCACATGGGCATCCCTTATTTTAAACGTAAGGTGGGGTTCAGAAGTACGTTGACACTTTTTGAAATGCGACAAGCATTACTGTGGAAAACGATTATTTTCATTCACGCTTACGTATTTACTGTTCATAGAATAAGGGCCACTTTGTTTATCTGTGTAAACAAAAGTTAATTGATTAATAATATAAAAATTTGATTGTAACGGATGTATTTTAAAAGGAAAGAATTTCTAATTAATATGGCACAATCCGTTTCAAAGATATTTACAAACCGCTGTAAGAGAGAGATGTAAAAAGAAAAAAATATATATCTGTAATTATATTTTTTAATTATAGTTAAAAGAGAGAAAAAGTACGGTAAATTACTTATTTAATTTAAAAATAAATCAAACTATTATACAAATAATTATTTTTATAATAGTGAATATTAAGTCTAAAAAGGTTAAATTAATAAAAAATTAAGAAGAATAAAAAATAAAAAAATTAAATTAAATATGTGATAACACAAAAATGAATAAAATAAAAAATTATACCGAAGAGATATAGAATTAATATTAAAATTATAATTGTTTGAATAGGATATGTACAAAGATGCCACTGAAAACGTAAGGAAAATGGATTATATAGTAGTCTCATTTTAAATCAAGCCGTGAATTATTATTGTTGTACATTTTTATTTAAAAAATTCTTATTTAAAATTTGTGTTTATAAATTATATATAAAATTTAAAAAAGCATATATTTGTAATTTATATTAGTTATTAAAAAGAATAACTATAACGTTGCATTATGAAAAGATTTTTGTCTAAAAAAGCCAAATTCTTATACCTTTATAACTTGATTTTAAGTTTGCTTTTAAAAGGTAACACATGCTTATTATACTCAAAATCTATGCATATTAGAGTCCTCAACAAACAATGCCTTAATGAAAAAAAAAAAGACTATAACTTTTTTCTTTGGATTACTTATTTACATATAAAAGTTATATATATATATATAGAGAACATGATTTCTTAAACCAGTATAAGTGCAAAACTCTTGCACTCAATTTTAGCCATTCATCTAATTTACCTGTAACGGCTATACTTTATAATACTATTTGACTTACATTCAATTTCTTTCTCCTACTAAATTTATAATTTATTACTTCATTAGTCTCACTTTTCATTTCTCTCTTGATACTCTGTCTTTTTATTTATTACCCATACTCTGTTTCAAACAACACAAGCTAATACCTTTATGTTCTTTTTCTCATAGCAAGCCTGCACAATGTTAAAATCATTTTTGGTATACAAACTTTTAATTGTTCTCTTAGATTAAAAAAATTATGTTTACATCTTCATGCAATTTTGATAAAAGTCGTTGCGTTCTATTATTATTATTATTATTATTATTATTATCATCATCATCATCATGTTATTTTGTAGGTTAATAAATAATAGACTTAGACCTGTTGATTTAACTCAAATGAATATGGAAACTAATCTCATTTCAAGGAATGAAGCGGTAATGAATTCTGATGCTTTACATAAACTATTTGACTCACTGAAAAAAGTTGAGGATCTTTATAAATTATTTGACAAAATAAAAAGATTTGGGATTCGCATTCGGTCAAGCAAAAAGTATTATTGCATTTTTGTATGTGCTAGGGAAGGTGAAAACAAGGTGAAAGGTGACAAAAATGAAAAAAATAATGCAATATTGGAGAAGCTAAGAAAAAGTGTTCAGCTATATGTATGGGTTGTCAAGCGTCACTTGCTATGTCAAAGGCTAAGAATCGGGATGTATAAGTTATTAGGTTGTTTGACGATAATTATAATCATGACATGGCTAGTCCTAAAAGCATGTCTCTTTTTAGATGTCATAGGAAAATGAATGCAACTGCAAAGAATCTTGTCGAAAGGTTTAATGAAGAAGGATAACCTACCAGAAAGGTTGTCTCCATGTTCAATGGTAGTGGTTCATCTTTTCTCAATAGAGACTGTAAGAATTATATGAGAAATGTTCATAACAAGAATTTGGATGTTGGACATGCACATGGTATTTTAAATTATTGCAAACAAAAGCAAGATCAAAATTCTAATTTTTTTCTATGCAATACAATGTGATGATGATGATAGAATGATGAATCTATTTTGGGCGTATGCTAGATCAAGGTTAGCTTATGAGTGTTTTGGAGATGTCATCACCTTATACAAAACCAACAAATATAGCATGCCATTTACCCCATTTACTGGAACAAACCATCATCGATCTTCAATCAATTTTGTTTGGTTGTGCCTTATTACAAGATGAATCTGAGACATCTTTTATATGGTTATTTGAAACTTGACTTAAGGCAATGAAAGGGAGAAGCCTGGGTCTATAATAACTGATCAAGATTTAGCAATTGGAGTTGTCATGGCCAAGGTATTCCTAGAAAGTCATCATCGATTATGTTTGTGGCACATTAGAAAGAGATTTCCTGAAAAGCTTGCACATATATATCACAAGAATTCATCATTCAAGCACGAGCTTAAGAGGTGCATTAGAGAGTCGTCAACTATCAGAGATTTTGAAGATGATTGGCAACATATAACGGTCGTGGATACCAATTTATAATAGAAGCACTTTTTTTGCTGGTATAAATATTACGCAAAGAAGTGAGAGCATCAATTCCTTTTTTGACTCTTTTGTTGATTCAAGCACAACACTTTCTGATTTTGTGGTGAAGTTTGAAAAGGCAATCAATCACCGGTATGAGGCTGAAAAAATAGAGGATTTTGAGTCTAGAAACAAATCACGCATTTTGAGTATTGGCTCAAATATTGAGGAGCACGCTGTGTCAATCTATATTATAAATGTGTTCAGGAAGTTTCATGATGAGCTTGTTAGTGTTACTCATTTTACAAAGGAGAAGGTAGAGAAAAATGGTTCGCAATACAAGTATCGTGTGTTTAATTGTTTTAATGCTTGAGATACATTTCTTGTTTTGTTGATATAAACTTGGAGTCAAAGAATGCTACATGTGGCTGTCAACTTTATGAATTCATGGGGATACTGTGTAGGCATATTTTGGTTATTTTTCAAGCAAAAAACATTGTTCAAATTTCTACTTAGTATATTTTGCAGCGTTGGACCAAAGAAGCCAATCGATGCATTGAGGTTGGTGATATCGATTTTCAAAATCATGAATCAGATGTTTTGAGAAGTATACATGTGCAGAGTTTATTTAGCAAATTCTCAAATTTGGCTAAAAAGTCAAAAGATACATACAACTTTATTTTGGTTGAACTTGATGTGTTTATAACATTGCTGCTAAAATAGTGAGAGAAACAAACGTGACCGTTTTAGAGTTAAACTAGGAAAATTTGATGTCTAAAACCTTAGATGATGTCTTTAATTGCAATATCAAAGACCCTTACATATCACAAACAAAAGGAAGAAAAAAGAAGTCTTTTGACAAAGTGGCTGTGGCTGGAAGATATAAGAGTGCTCTTGAATTGGCAACAAACAAGATCTTAGTTAAAAGGAGAGCAATGTAAATCCTATGATAAATACGGTCATTATCAATCAACTTAGAAGAAATATATAACATAGTGTAAGGAAACCTAGTACCAAAGAGGTGACCACTTGGA